GAAATGGAAAACATCAAATACTTTCAATTTTTCTCTGTACACTCTAACACTTGCACATATCACCTATATATATCCATATATATGTAATCAAATATACATATGGATTCATATTAAAGCTTTAGCTATGTCATACAAAAACCTAACATTTCCTAAGAGTACTCAGATATAGATGTGAAATAATGGGATAATTAATCCATGCACTCTTTCCCTCAACCATCATCTCAGAAGCTGAGCAACTGAAATAGAGTAAATAAGAGTAAAGATTTAGAAACGGTTTAATGTTCAAACACTCTCTTCATTTCCTGATAAACCTGGAAAATTACTAAGACAAGAATATTGCTTAGGTATAAAAGATACTTCTTATAGAGAAAGATACTACAAGAAAATGTTGTGGTTCCTATAGTGTGGACGAAGTCCCATTAATGATGCAGTGAGTTTCAGGTATTTAAATGTATACTTGTGAAAGACATCATGCTTAGGAACGTTTGGGTTTTTCTGAAGGTAGCATGTGGGTTTGAGACTTCTATGCTTATCAAAATGAGAATATCAATGAGAAAACCGCTTTATACAAACTATCTGAAGGGTGCAGTACTCTGAAGGTGCCAAGTCTATGCCTCAGTAGGGACATCACTTCCCTGATCATCCCAGGAAATTAGACAAGTCAGACCCTCCTTTGCACTAAGGGTGGCAGGGGTGTGTGTGCAATGCCCAAGGGCTTGCAGTAGAACCTCTCCTTTATATGCAGAACACAGCTGTAGGTGTATGAGCAATGTTAAGAATGAAAAAGGCAGAAAGCAGTGTACAAGTTCTGTCACTTGCTCCTCTTCATTACTCATCTGACACTTGAAGGTGCCAGGCTTCAGGTACCTGTTTAACCAGGCAGCTGGGTGGAGTCCAGTGGCTTCCGTCTTTGTATTTTACTTATGGTCAACAGAAAGATACTTGAAAAGTCTTTGAGCATCCTATTTTTCAACCCACAAACAGATTAGAAATGAATCATTTAAAAGACTTGATTTGAAGCCCCTCAACCTGTGTTGTATAAGTTTCTTGTACAAAAAGGGTAATAGAGCTGGAGAGATGTCTCAGTACTTAAGAGCGCATATTCCTCTATTAGAAGACTTGGGTTTGGTTACCAGCATCCACATCAGGTGGCTTGCAGCTGTCTGTAACTCTGGTTCCACGGAATTTGATGACTTTGGTGTCCACAAGTGTTTAGGGTTGACAACCTGGGACTGGATAACATATCAGGAGTCTCCTCCATGAAGAAAATAGATCCTTTCTCAGCACCCATAGATTACCCATAGCTCCTTATCCAGGGCAATATAGCCTTTTGTTATCACCCTTGGTTGTCTCCCTGAACTCAAAGATAAAACCCTAATTTTAAAAACATCATCAACTTCAGATACAGGAGTTGGAGGAATAGAGCTGGAATTGACCTGGAAGCCTCCTTCCTACAGATTAGCTCTCATAGTAATAGAAGATGCTATGTAAGCAGCCAAGGGAGGAAATAACCATTAGTTTTATCTTTCTGCAAAACCATAACAATGACTAGCCTGCTTGCTATTTTTCCAAGCTTAATATTTGTTGCTTTATTTATGCATGTGAACACCCACACACCCACAAAGGCCAGAACAGGTCCTTAGTCCTAAAGTTAAAAATAGTTATGACCTACTTGACGTGGTTTTTAGGAATTAAAATTGGATTCTCTGCAAAAACAGCAAAAATTCTTAACCACTGAGTCAGCTTTACAGCCCTCTGTTGCTACCTTATACCTGTAAGAATTTATTACACCTTAAACTTCAAAGGCTCTTTGAGAGGTCCTTAATATATTTCAAATAGTTAAAAAAAAGCTATAATCTTAATTCTTTTCTCCTCAGAATTTACTAAAACATTCTGAAAAACCCATTCCCTAGACGTTGATTTTAAAGCCAGAAACTCACTTTCATTCTATGCTGTGTTTGAGCTCTTAACAAAATTCCCATGAAAAATGAACATTCATAATCTGTCTATTAATTATTTGTTCTTAATACTTTAATTACATCTGCATCTATGTTTGTCCATGTTAGGCTTTGTGCGTGTACAATAACAAAGCTGAGATCATGAATTTGAGAGGAAGTGTGGAATAGGAAGATTTGGAAAAGGAGAGAGAAGTGTAGAAATGATGGAAATACAGTACTCCTATATGACATTTGCAAAACACAAAAAAATTATTTTTTTTTAATTTTTGAGACAGAGGTTCTCTGTGTTGGCCTGGCTAGCCTTGAACTCACAGAGATGAACCTGCCTCTGCCTCCTTAGTGCTGGGATTAAAGGCGTGAACCACTACTGGGCCTCAACAATTAATTTTAATAAAGAGATACAAGAACTTATACAATCGGGGTATCATCAATTAATTAGAAGCCCCATAATCACTAACCTGTGTCACTCACTCATGTTTACTCCTGGTCTACTATTAAAAGTTTGCTTTGTAGCCTATAAAAATAGCATGAACTGACAATAGGAATTTACAATCCTTATACTTGGGATTACTCATGAGGTCACCATTAGTCCAGAAAACAGCAATGGAGGAGGGAAGAGAAATCATTTTTAAAGATAAGGAAAATGCTTCTGAGTGTGATTCATGGAACTAATGAGATGGACATTTCAAAGATTTAGTTAAATAAGTTTCATCTCTAGGGAATATTTAGAAGTTTTTATTTTTCTCTCCATGTGTAAAATATATCTTTAATTTGTTTTTATACTATGATAATTTTAAAATGTCAAATTGCATTTGACATTGTTGAAAATGGACTTGGAAGTGGATACTTACGGAGGACAATAGTGACAAACATACAAGAATTTCAATGGTTGGTTAGGGCACTCAGCAACTCCACAGGCAACTTGGAAAGATGTATTCCAAACAACCTATATACCCAGAGACGAAGACAGGGCACAGGTCAGAGAGGAAAATCATGCAGAAAAACAAATACAAAATTTTAAACACTGCTGGTATACTTTGTTTCTATATGCCTTATTTAAGTGATTGCATCAAACTACAAATGTTAGAAGCTCCTGAAGGGGCTGCTCTTGTTCAGCTAGTCCGGCAGAACTTTCAGGAAGCACCCAGTGGAGTTTATAGAGTCTGAGAGTGGCTTCAGCCCCATCTCAGAGAAGCTTTCTTCTTCTTTGTCATCTTTGACAGTTTCCATGATGATGAGAATGCAGAAAGCTGGGCTGAGGCCAAGGAGCTTTGTGTCCAAATGAAAGGCATCAAAGAATCTATGGACACCAGGAGGACCCTGGTGTGATGTATAACTTTTTGACACTGCTTCCAACCCCACTGGCATGTGACCATAAACAGCTAGATATCAGGATATCAGGTCAATTCCTGGTCAGACATCAAATTGATCAAGATGTTGCTGGTTACTACTCTGAAGTGCTTTTGCAAAAACAAGTATCCTGTGTCAATAGAGCCCTGGCCTTGGAAGATGAACCAGAACTTCCTCTCAGTGTCACAGAAGAGACTATTCCGTTTGATACTAAGCTGTGATCATGAGTATCTTCCTTTCTGGGTGGCCAGGGATCATGAGTGGCTACAAGCCTTTCTGGTTCAGCCTGATGGAAGGCTGACACTCAGCATAAATTTTAGAAGTTTTATGTGGCAGGTGATTCTGGGTAGAGCTGTGGTCTTAGATTTCCTGGTTCCCTCCTGAAACTGTGTTTCAGCTCAAGTCTCTCAGCCTGCAGGATCACAGGCCAAGGAACTGGAGTTGCCCTGTGCCTATACCGCATGAGGATCTTCTCTCCACCTAGCCAAGCAGGATTCCCATATCACCTTCCTCCTAGGTTTGGAAGGCCCTCTTTGATGGAGGAAAGGATAGAGCCACAATCTTATAATTCTTCCCAAAAGAGTCATTATATTTGATAGGAAAGGGCCTGAGGCCTGGGCCTTTAGATCCATCAGGAAGGTAGCTGTCAGGGTTTCTGATTTAAAAAAAAAAAAAAAAAAGTCCAGGAGATACCTTTCCCCTTTTCACTCAGGAGCCATACAAATGTACAGCGCTGTTAAAGTCTGTAGAGGTGCCTTAGAATATAGGCCATTACCCTTGTTAGGGGACTCAAGTCAAGAAATTACGGTTAGGAAAAAAAAATCAAGTATGTTCCCTTATGAAGATTAAAAAAGCCATTGGAAGATGGCAGCTCAAATAGCCAATGATTGTCAAGAAAAATACATAACCAACCACTCAAGATCTTCCCCAAGGGTATATGATTGGTGTGCACTCTCTCTATACTCCCTAACATTGGGAGACTGTGAAAGGGAGACAGGAAGTTCAAAGCCAGTATGAGCTACTTATTGAGCCCTTGTCTCAAAAAGAAAATAAAACTCTCTTCCCTGAAATTCTTCTTCAAAATTGGTCAAGTAATTTAAAATATTTCTTTGCCTAGCACTTATAGATACAGTACTTTTTCTTACCTGAGTATAATGTCCAACTACTGCATCAGTTGTATTTGGACCTGAACCAAAACTGAAATCATTGACTTCATCATACCAGCTTTGGATTGCATGAGACCATGATGCTGGATAACTTGACATGAAGATATTCTCACCACATCTTATCTCTAGGGGAAAAGACAGACCACTCACAAAGAGAGTAAAAAAGAAAAGAGAGGAACACACTCACACACAGACATGCATGTGTGATCTCTCAGAATCCCTGCTTTTTAAAATAAAAAAAAGATTCTAATTTCATATTTCCTTTATAAGGCTTTAATTAGTAATTATTTTCATCCAGACATCAGTTTCTAATCTTCAAAGCAGAGAAAGAGATGATTCACACCTTGCTTCAATTGTAAACTAGTTGCAAAGCACAAAACTGGCATCAGGAAAGATGGTTGGTGTAAAATATAAACCATCCAATAAACACAAACTGGAGACTTTCAGAGTCATCTCTGCCCCAGAGATATTTAACTTTTAAAAGAAGCAATATCAGAATAGGTATTTATTTACAACACTTGTTAGCACAATGTGAGAAAATGGGCTTTTCTCCATTCATATGTAAGTTACAATGAGTTTACATACTGGTGGTCCTGGCTTCTGGAGGACTGTGTTCATAAGTGCACTGGCTTGCCCATCTCTGTGCATTCACTCGGGCATCATCGCTCCATTGCTAAAGAGGAAAAGGAAAGAAAATAGCCATGGTATAACTCAAAAGTATAACTCAGAGTCACATGATCTTTGCAGACAGGCTGATATCATTGCAAATTTTCTGTAGGTGTCATCTGATTTTCATCACAATCAATATATAACATAGTATATGTCTAAATTTTTATGTTAGCATATATATTATCAATGTTCATGGTAGCATTTATAAATAAGTTTTTTTTGCATATGTCCTCCCCCCATCTTCCTGATCCTGCCCATCCTCCCATCCATACCCTCTCATGTACAGCCTCCATTTGATGTCACACAGGTTCTCTTTCCTTCCACTTACCATGCCTTCTAGAGTCCCTTCCCAACCCCCAACATTGATCTTCTTAGTAGTTTCATAACCTATGTCCAAAGATACTCCCTCTTATCTATGGCCTTTTCTGTACCAAATAAATACAAGTGGTATGTCTTCCCAAGGCCACAAAAAAATACTAGAACCTTTAATGGTCTAATGACTTATTGAAATCACAACAGGAATCATTAAAAAGTGAGTAATTGCTGTAGAGAGAGTATCACTAACAATGACAAAGTACTAAGACTATTTTTACAGCTGTAAGAAGTTGCCTCATAAATCCCAGCTTCATTTTTCCCTCATTAAATGAATTTAAGAGACACAAGGATTTTGCTTCTGGATCCAGACAGTAGACTATTTACATTAAGGGTCATTGGACCTTAAAGGAGAAATGTTCTGACCCTAGATTAGGACAGAGAAGAGTGAGCCAAAATGACATGGTAGCTATTCACTGGAGACCAGAGTCAAAAGATTTGATTTTAGTTCAGTCATTATAATTGATTTAGCTCCATAATACCAATGAGTCACTGTTATAAAAGAAATTTAATAAGTTCTCCTCTGATCATTGCACAGCTAAAGCCATAGAGGTAGAGAACCAACTCTGATCTCTCTGTGCATGCCATAGTATATGGACACACACTAACACACATGCACACAAACAAAACAATGAATATTTTTTAAAGGCAAGCCAGAATAGAGGCAGAACCTTTTAAAGAACACAGCAGAAGCCAGATGCTATCCTCAGGCTCCAAACACAGCTCTCCAAATGCACTGTCCTGTTGTAAGCCCTCACCATCTTTAGTAAGTCACTACCAGGTGGAGAAACCATTCTTCTCAGTTGGTTGTGCTTGTTTACAATCTCTTCTTGGACTGACTCTCTAGTGGTTGACAAATTCTCAAGATTTTCATTCTAGAGGGAAATAAAATTAAAAGTCATGTTAGTGTATGTTAAGGTTGCATTAAAAGGTGCTATGGATATCACTCTATATAAATAAAACACTGATGGCCAGTGACCAGGCAGGAAGTATAGGCAGGACAAGGAGAGAGGAGAATTGGGGAAACAGGAAGAAGGGGGGAGAGACACTGCAGCCACCGCCA